TTGCAGAGATATGTTTTTAAACGTCGCAAATCTGCGAACAGAGATTTTTTATACCAGGTTGGTATACTGCTCTACTGGTTGCAGTACTGGTAGTCACAGAAAGAGTGCATAACAGCTGCAGTAAGATCCTGATATTTGAGAGAGAATCGGTAAACCTGTGAACTTGCGTCGGGTGTCTAGGCAACTTATTTTCTGGATTCGATTTCCACATTTGTTTCCAAATTTGAAACTCACGTTTCAAGGCCAAAACCATGGCAAATCTTTGTATTTGATTGCCCCTTGAAGAAGAATTTCACTAATGTAGGAATCATTTATATGGGTGTTAACAGGTGTTGAACCTTGCCTATACATTCCAGCTACTTTTTGGGGAACCTTGCCGTCAGTTCATATTTAATGAAATCAAAGAACGGAATGTACACTGACGTGCGATAATAGACCTCGGGTAAGTCTGTTTGTACATTAGATCGGTTTTTTGTCGAGCTGTTGTGCTAGGCATTTGAATTACTCTCTCCATTTCTTTCACCAAACTAGCCGCCTGGTTATAAAGCTCCTTGTGAAGGTGTCAGAGCTGTAGTCTCAGTTTTCCTATATGTTTTGTATTGTAACTGCGACAAGCTGCGAAACTTGCAGCACATCCATGTATTCTGCTTGGAGTTTGCTGAGGCTGCTGAGGCTAAAGTCACTCCCTCGTGGCTTTCTAGCTATCTTGTTTATCACAGTTTTTTTAAACAATGTTATCCTGGCTTGAGGTCATATTGTTGGCTGTGGTGCCCACTGAGATGCCACTGGACCTAATAATTTCAATCTATTCCGAGCTAAATAAGTATTTTATTACATCAAATAACCGTGGCAAATTTCAACCAAATCGGTGCAAGGATATTTATGATATTCTATAAATACCGTTTTTCGACTCCCTGTATCTCAGAAACGAAGCAACTCGGGACATATGTTCATGAGAACGTTTCTCTCAAATCGACCTAACGACTCTCTGAACTTTCGTACCATAGTTAGGAAACACCCTGTATACTATAATATGTCGTAGTCCATGTTGAAATCGTGGTTATTCCCTAAAAGGTGAAGTCTAAAAAGTTTATCGAATCATTGGTTTCTAGTTCTATTGTGTATTTTGTTTTTGTGAATAGAATGTAAGTATTGAAAAAATGACTAACTGTAGATGTGTTCCTATATAGCAGCAACGCATATTGTTATACGCATGTTGACGATGTTATAGCCCACAGGAACGCATATAATGAAAAAAATTGTCACCGAAAAACGACACGAAAAAGCCAGAAAACTCAAGGAATTGGCATATATTCAATTGACAGGCAACATTTTGACCAACTCTGGGGAACGAAAAGATACTGCTTTCCAAAAATTAGTTTTTTCGAAGGGGCTAACTTCATTACATTCATTTCACTAGAACAAATTCTCTGTTGATCTAAATTCAAATATTTTTCAGGTCGTGGAAAATTGAAAACCCAGAATACATCAGGGAACAGTAACCCCTCTACAAAAAAATGTCTTTCAAAGATCGGAAATAACTACACACTAATACCTGTAAATGTTTTTATAGATTTGATCTCAGATACATTTCAGCCACAAAATAATTGAGTGATTTCAGTTGGTCGTTGGAATGGAAATGTTGGATATTTATTTATTCAAATGTTTATTATAGTTTTTATTGGCTGCGTTTTTGCTACAATTTCTGTACCGTAATGACTATTTCCATCTTCCTGTTGCTACTGTTAATTTCGTCTCAATCGACAGAAAATTAAGTCGAAGATAGTTTGTCGACACGCTTGTCAAAATTGTTCATACTGACTACTTCCTCTTTTTTGATATAAGTAATTCCTGCTGATGCCGATTGGACACCAAAATAATATCACTTTGATTTCATTCATTTCATAGAAACGCAGGCATTCACCGTAGTCACGATTAAAAAGAACCAAATCCGGGATGGTAGGCCGTGGTCGAATAGAATCCGAAGTACCAAAGTTTCATGTGCTACTGCAGCAGACAACAACAGTGGTATATGCGTTTACTGCGAGAAATGCAGCGTGAACTACAGCAACGACTGAGCAACTTTGAGATATAATATTCGTCCTTTAGACGCGTCTAGGCAAAAGTTGACCATTTCAGAGCTTGCGTTTTAAAATTCATGAAAAATGCGCCAACTTCATGTAATTTACTTCTGGCGTTATTTAAGAAGATATTAAAAAACAAAAAAACACTTTTTTTGCTTCTGTTCAAGCTATCAAGCTCTTCAAGCGTTTGCAGGTTTGTAATCCACCAATTTTACTTTTTGTATGAACCGGAAAAAGAATCCCATGTAATAAATTAACTATTCAGCGACAATTTCGTATATTGTCATATACAGCAATCGAAATTTTCTAAATTTTGAAACATAACTCTAAAATGGACATTTTTTCACTACTTCAACCAACTTTTAGTACCTGCTAGGATTTCCGATTAACCCTTACTGTTCCTCCTTATCTTGGACACAGTATACAAGTAGAAAAATACTCTAGAAATAAATTCAGTTATTGAGTTTTGATAGTATATTTTATTATGTTGAATTTTCTGAATAGTATTCAAAATTTCTGAGGAACGTCACATAAACTTCTATTAAGGAAAAATAAATCCATTCACAGAATAAAAACAACGTCAACTCATTTTTTCAACGCCGACTCGAATTCTTTTACATATTTCAATGGTTGAAATCAAAGCTCGAAAACAAACCATTCGTGATTCAACACTAGTTAGCGCTGTTTCGACCTGACATAGATCTCATCAGTGATGCTATTGATCCATGAATGCATTATTGGACTCAATTTTTGTCATAGGACCAGCCTGAGTATAAGTACGCATGGACATCTCTTCTTACGAACACTCCATTTATGTAATTTACAGAAAACTCAAACATAGCTTATCCAAGAAAAAAAATGATTTGCAAGGTGGTATGTTGCAGAGTTACGCTCCTACGTTGACTACCGAATGAGAAATCGCTCTGTCTTTTTCTGCAATATCCACTGCAAGGCAACCAAATAAAATCGTAGCTCAAAAATGGTCAATGTCGAAACTTGGCTTTGCAACAGACTGTCGTGGGGATCTTCAACAAGCAAGGTTTGAGTTATCTCTAGATCCCATAAATGGCGTATTCGTAAAGACAGTTGTTCATACTTTCCACACTGAGGCTTTCGTTTAAGAACAATTGAGTTCAACATTCGTGGTTCAGCCTTGCACTACTGATAAATCTTTGCATCGTGAATATGGAAAAATATAAATCAGTGTTTGAGAAAAATGAGCTGTCGTATATTTCTTCCTCTGAACAGATTTGTATTTTTTAATTTTGATACTTATACTGAATTCTTGAGAAATTTTGAATTTTTTTCGACAAATTCACCAAAATGAAGTGGTATACTTCACGTTGGTGATAAGAGTAGGGCTCATTGACAACCTGACAATAACGAGTATTTTTTTCATAACGGTTCAGCGTTGCACCACCGATAGAACCTATGGCACGTTGAAACAACGTTGTCTGGTGTTGGATCGTCAATACTTTGCTATTGGGTTCTTCATGATTTCACATCAGTGTATCTAGGTTCATTTCTCCAGTATCTTCGGAACTAAGAACTTAAAACTTCATATGAGCTTTGAATAAAAAGAGATGGGCTCATTTACAATTTGACAACAACGCGTATTTTTTTCACTGAATAACGTCTAAATCAAGGCTTAACATGAAATTTTTAATTTTTGAAAGTTGTGAGACGTGGGGAAAACTCAAAAATATTCAAAGTTTACGATATCAACACATTTCAGTTACTTGGTGAAGTAACTTCCACAACTGACTTTATACCTTACATTGTTGTTATAACTTCTTACAAAACCATGCGGATCTATACTGATACGTTCAAATGCCAACTACACAGAAATGACAAAAAAAGCATGAAACTTCAAAATCATTGAAAATGCGTTAGAATGAACATCGCAATTGTCAAATCACATTTTGAAATCATTTGACAAGACGAGAACAATTCCTAGTGAACCTCACTTTAAAAGAGGTACCTACGCACTAAAATCAGCACGTATTTTAATATCTGGAGAAAGGTGTATTTCAAACGGCTCCTTAGAAATGGATCGTACTTGGCTACCCGTCTTGAAAAAAGATATGAATAGTGGCGAATTTGCAGCAGGCTAATATCAGAGAACACCCTGTACTACATCACATGTTTCAGAAGTCAATCGATAACATTGACATATTTCACGTTCCAAAACTCCTTTGACATCAGCCGCGGAAGTTTAAAAATAAAGCGGGCCGAAGAAAAAATTGCGAGTTACATTAAGTACATTTGTTTCAATTCTGAAGACAAAGGCAAATTTTTAGGATCTGAAACATTAAAGATAACTATCTACATTTTCTTATCTTTTTTTTGATATGCAAATTTATCAAATGCCTACGTCAAGTTACTGAATAATATACTTTTTTCATTGTGGAAGATACTTTGAATTTACGAAGTAATTTATCGGGATGAACTAAGAGGTTTGCACTTTTTACACCTTTATAAAATTCTCCATTACAATTTTAATTTTTTTCAGATTGTTGTGGGTGAAAATTCCTTAAAAAAAGGTCAGCAAGAAGTTCTGCTGAAATATTCACCAAGGTCGATTATGAGAAAAATTATCGTTCAATATATTTTATTGATTGGAAGGGAATGACTAATAAAGTTCACAAAGATATGAATGAATGAAGATAAAAAGAGCGTCATAAAAAGTCGGCTATACATTGTACACAACTAGAACCCAACCTTTATTTAGCTCGTCAAGGTGGAGTGATTTCACCTGAAATTTATAAACGCGCATGTTTCGTCTAAATGCAACCCCTCGGTGAATCCGGAATATTATTTATATCAGATATACAGATTCAAAATGCGACGCCGTGCTGATGCGTTAATATAGTGAACAGGCAAAGGCTATAAATTTCATCTATTGGACGACTCTCACCTGTATCCAATGTAAGACCATTGTCGCTGCAGGGTAGAAGTTTTTCCGTAACTCTCTCGTCACCTGAACAGTCACTGTATTTATAATTATTACTCTCTTCCGATTTTGAAACTTTAAATCTTCTTTCAGACATTTTCAATCTGTTGTGAATTTAAAAAAGTAAATATTCGTTTGACATAGATCCGGTCAAATTAAATCCACTGACAACAGAGATTAAAACATGAATCAAGTGAAATTACAATAATCAACCATACTATAAATTTGAAGAGATGAACCCGCTCTCTACAGCCTGTTCACATGGCGCGCACAATTATTTAACTTAACTGACAGCTGTCATCACGTTATGTTCCTTATGTTTACTAAAACACGACATCTACAAAAAAACGTTCACTTTCTAGTTACTTTACTAACGATCAGGAGGTCTTAAGGTTTCCCTCTACGGTACAGAAATTCAACTCTGTCTGGCATCATACACAATTATCTGAAAAAACAATCAATTTTCGTCACTTCACTCTTCTGCCACCTCTCGGGTAAAGACTTTTGATCATTCCCATATTGATTTCAATTTAAGAGCCACCGGTAGACAGCTGTTTCAGCCTATTGGGCATCGTCAGTACCAGGCAGGCGGTCCTCGATTGAAGACAAAATTAGAAAAAAACCATGAAAATACTTGATGAAAATAGCTGCGTAAACGCCAGCGAAACATAAGTGGAACCACCTATTGGTGTGACACCCAAGTCAACTTGCCAAGTTTTTATGTTGTCAGTTTTGGTGGTTTGACCAATCAACCGACATACATAGTGTTATATACAACTATAACACTTGTGAACCATAAAGTTTGTCGTATCTTATGTATGTATCTTATTACATCAGAACATCTGATGTAATAGGAAAAACAATGAAAGTGAACTTTCATTGAAAACAATAATACAGGGATAGATTCAATAGAAAAGTTGAATATGCAACGAAAGTGAATTGTTCTCAGTGCACTACCAATTGTAGTGGAGATATTTCCCCACATAAACACCAATTTAACCAATTTCAAAATAAATGCAAGTGTGCAGTGAACACTTCAAAGATCCAGGTAGGTAGTAGGTATTTCTAGTTATCCTTATTTGTCTTCCGTCTTATACATTCAGATTTAACCACATTTATCCACATTTCCAAAATTTTTATTTGATCTTCTAGTGGATTCAACACCACAAAGAAAACGTTAGAAAGAATCTATTCCCAGCCAGAAACTCCGTTTCCTCTCATCAATGTATCAAATAAAATAAAGACAGGAGTAGGTAACCAAAACTGGATAGAAAAAAGATGTGTCGATTTTTGTCTGTCATCATATTGCTAATTTACTTTTCGAAATGAGATTGAACTTTGGTTTATTGGTCATATTGTTAATCAGTTTTCTGCAGTTCCACACATTCCATTGAGCAACGTGTTAAATGAAGATAAATCTGTAGGTACAACAGATTTCTGTATCTGTTTTCTCAGATACTTAGTTTTGATGGGAAACTGAGCCATTTTACAGGTAATTTTTCAAAAACGATATGTAAACATAACATTACAACCGAATTCACAAATTTAGGTTAGGCATTCTCTTTATCCATTTAAAAAATTAGTGTATTAATCAATTTGCTATTGAAGAATGTACATGAACCTTAACTGAATTTCAAATTGTGACATTATTCGTAGAAAGTAAAAATGATAGAATAACTTGTGATGATTTTCAAAATCAAGACATACATTTTTATAAAATAATTTTATACAAAACCAGGCTAGTCATGTACATAGTATCAGCTATTTTGAAATAATACTATTTTTTCAATACACTGACCTGTTGCTTGGTGAAAATCAATAACACTTATAATTATAATTTAAAAAATTCACGACATAAACAATTACTTTACAATGCAATTTATAGAAACTATAAACCTTAATGAATAAAGATTACTCATTGATAAACAGCAAGTTTTAAGAAGGTATCCAGCAGGTACAGAGCAGGTAAATTATTGATATTGATGATTTGCATCCTAGGAGTTTAAAGTAGGAAAAGATCAGATAGCTTGTGGAAACTAGTTTCAGATTTTGAATACAGATATCTCTATTCCTTAAGGTCGACAATTTGTATAAATTACATTGTAAAGTAGTGTGAGGGACCAGTATAACTGAGGATGCTACATGCTCCATATGATCCATTGATCAATTTAGACAATATAAAAATTCATGACAGTCTTATTTTATATGACACTGACCTTAATGAATTGTTCAAAGTACTTCATGAAATTAAAAACAAAAACACAGCCGGATATGATATTTCCGTTAAGATTTTTTTGAGATTACAACTCAATGCTCTAGAAACTTTGGTCGCCCTTATTAATACCTCATTCAGAACTGGCTCATTTCCTTCTTCCCTGAAAACTTCCGTTGTCATTCCGATACATAAAGGTGGTGATTTAGATAATCCCTCCAATCTGCGTCCTATTTCCTTAATACCGACTTTAGCAAAAATTATTGAGAAATTAGTCAAAGTACGTTTAGCTGAATTCTTAAAACAGCAAAAACCAGTAATCCTTTTAACAATATATTAGCAATTTATTCTTTGTACTATCACTTTATACATGGTGGTGTTTTATTTATACATTTTTAGAACTTTTTTAATATCTACATTCATAAATTTTTGTAATTTTTTTTATATCTACATTTATACTTTTTTAGTACTTTTTCTATACCTACCTATTAACATTGTATTTCTTGTCAATAAGATGCAAATCTTCGGACAATAAAGTATATTTTGATTTGATTTGATTAGTGAAACGCATATAGGAAATAAAGTCTATATTGTGAAAATTTGTAATTATTATGGATACTGTTGAAATTATATGTCCAACAGAATATTTTACAACTACCTTATTTTGCCTGTCATCAAAATTATGAAAATTGAAAGAGAATGTCATATGTTCAGTCATTTAAAAATATATGAACAGAGTTTAGAGTAGATTGTTTACTTAGCAGAAACAAATTTTGAAAATCATTATTTTGAATGTTTTTGAATGGTTACCCTCATATAATATCAGACAAAGGACTATACAAATAACACTGGAAGAAAAAAATATATGATACAATCTTGCCATAGAATCGATAAAACTGAAGTAGTAGGAATCAGCTATTTTAACCAGCTACCAGATAATATGCAAAACTTGTCATTGAATAGATAATACTAAAATGAAAGTAGTTAGGCAAGATATGTGCCATATCTAGTATGAATGATTGTCAGGACAAAGCATGCATTAATTCTCATAATAGGCAAATTTTTCATCAGTTTTAAACTGTATTTGTTACCTGTAATTCAGTAAGTATTTGTGCATATTAAGATTCCTAGAAACCCTGGTGTTGGTAACGCTTAGATTTTGTTTTGAACTTTTTGAAGGAACCACCTGTTGCTTTTAACAACACTTACGTGAGTTTTCCCAAGATGGCGCTATTCTGAATTGTTCGAGTCCCCGCTGAGTCAGTCAAATTAATTATTATCCGTCATTGTCAAAAAGAATTTTCAAATTTTGGTATTTTGAAATTGATATTTTTTGTCATCCCAATCTTTACATTGTTCGCATTTTTTATTATAGTTTTCGTTCGTTAGTTCTCAGTTATTTTAGTTTGGTTACATTTTTCAGTAGTAATAAGGAATAGTTTTTTATAGTGTATAAGGATACTTAGTTCATGATTTTTTTCAATCAACTGATTCTCCAGATATTTTAGTCTAATGCCACTAAATAAATGCTTCCAAAGAGGCCAACAGTGACTCTGAATCTTAATTATTATTACAGACGCCAAAATACATACAGGCCTTGCTTCCAGGTATATTCAATGAATCATTCCAATTTAATGATTTGTATATTAACAGAAAATTTTTGAATTGAGCAAGATATCACAGTTGGACGAAATTTGTACAAAAAGCAATAATTTTTAGTATTTTTTTAGAAAAAAGCCAATAGTCTAAAATCACTTGCCGCCAAGAGGGCGTTATAAACTTTATTTTTCAACTGGGAAGGGGAGTCTTGTGACATTTCGTATGAAAGTTATTTCATTTCTTTGCACAATTTCATTAACTTTTTTGAAATTCGATAACATTGGTTGCGGAGTTATTGATGTTTGAATTTGGGACTAGAAATTTCATACTTTCGACTCCCTACATAAAATTTTTTGAAATAAATGTTCACTAGAAAGATAAATAAATTAGTAACATCTTTTGCAATAGATATGTGTTAATTTCAAGGTGCATGATTGCATTTCATTTTATTTGTCTTATTCATGAAAAGTCATTTGAGCAAATGTTCAAAATCTTCTTGAACCTTCTGACACTAAAACGGTATATTTTCGAACTCATTTCAAGTTTCGGCCATTCTGTCTCAGAAGTTCCTGTATCGTCATAGCTTACGTAACATAAACTTTCGAATACAACCCCAAAGGGAAAATCGAGAGCAGTCAAATCCGATGAACGAGCAGGCCGTTCCAACAGACCGCGCCTACCAATCCACATGCCTGGGTATGTCTGATTCAAACAATCCCTTACATACCTAAAAAATATTGGGGCGCATCGTGGGTGAATGAGGTTTTGAAGAATTTCCAAATATAAGTCCCTAGTCAGATTTTCCTCTAGATATATGGACCAACAATATGATTCCTGAAAAAGCTATCGTGTGGCTTCTCGTTCAGGCGTATCTATACTGAGTTAGTAGAGACACGCCTGAAGCATCTATTTATTTTATAGCAAAACACGTCACTTACTAAGTTAATATAGACACGTCTGAAGGTCTGAAGAAGCTATTGTGTAGCCAAATATGTGTTGCATTAGATTTTCACTAAACAGTTTTACAATACGCAACACGTCTTTTGCTATACAATAGCTTCTTCGGGAGTGTCTATACTAACTTTACTGACGCCTGAAGAAGCTATTGTATGGCAAAACACTGTTGTTTTTTTGTAAAACTGTTTAGTGAAAATGTCACAATAAAATGATTCTTGAATGAATCATATTGATTGGTTTTTGAATACCTAAATCAATGTGATTTAATCTCAGATCTTGCTAAATCATACTGATTGGGATTTAAACAATTTGTGATTGGTTTTTAAATATATTTAATCCATTCAGTTTCAACCCTAATTTTTTGTTTCTCTAAATTTTTTAAATCTCCTAAAGATTTTACCTAGTTGTTTCTCCCTCGTTTTGAAATGGCAAAAAAATCAATGTCGGTTGGTGGTGGTATGAGTCACATTAAAACATGTTTCTTCAAGTGTTCCAGTGGCCTAAACGGACAATATAGACAACCTTGAAATTTTCTGTTACAAAGAGAATTATCAAATATTTAACCTACCCATATTTTATGTAATGTGAAAATTTCAAAATGTTTATTTCAGTTGGGATTCACTTTGCTCTTGACAATCGTACAAAAAAAAGCAGTGTGAATATCCACTGAGAAAGATATTTTCAACAATTCATTTTGCATAAAATATGTTAGTCCCAATTACAGAAAGGGAGGGAACTATGATTTTTTTCATTAGGGTCTTCAATAAGTTTATGTTGAACTGTTATTAAATTTTTCAAAATTTCTTGCCTTTAAAGCTGAGCTCTAACTGAAATGTTAAAAGGTAGCTTATGGTCAACCTAACACTGGTCCAGCTATTATGCAACCAACACAGGAACCTCCGACATATTCCAGAAGTGGTCAACAAACTCAAGCAGTTCCAAAAACAACTTTAGACACAACCGAATTACAGGTAAGTCTTTTACAATATATTCCAGATGATCAATTGTTCTTGTTTTCTTTCATTTCAGAGACGACAAGAGGAACTTGAAAGAAAAGAACAAGAGTTGGCTCGTAGAGAAGAAGAAATTAGAAATTCTGCATTCAATGTGAGACGTAACAACTGGCCCCCCCTACCAGAACAGTGTTGTTTTCAGCCTTGTTTTTATCAAGACATACAAGTGGACATACCTCTAGAGTTTCAAAAAATTGTTCGTCAGTTATACTACTTATGGATCTGTGAGTACATTTTTAATCTAAAAATTATTTTTGTTATATNGTTCAATTGTTTTATTTTTACTTTTATTTCACTATTATTTCATTTCAGGTGTTTTTGCTTTGCTTTTATTTTATTAGTTCTTTCAGGAATTTCAAATCATTTTATATAATATCAGACAATGGAAGTCCGAACTAATGAAATTCATTCACAGAATTGCTACATAATATAGTATACGAAAGAGGTAAAACTCACTTACATGGAACACTGCCATCCTTGTTTATTCATTCATTTACGGGCAAGCCCCATAATTACAATGTTAAATTATAATTAAAATAAAATCAGATAAGGTACTGAATTACAAATTCCAACTAAGAATAGCTTAAAAGGGGTGAATTCAAAGTATAAATGAATATTACTGGAGTTTTTTCCCAACACCAAATCGTTATTTTCAACACTTCGACACGTGTTTTGATCACCAAAACTTCAGTAATATTCATTACTACACCAAAGGTTCCAAACAGTGCATCATAAGTACCCGATGTATATGCTATATATCTGAGGAAGTTGTGTTGTGTGTTTTTGATGTTCTTAATATAAGTTACACAATGAGGGAACCAGAAGAACCATAGAAGAACAATACTCTAGGTGTGGACCAACCAGTTAACAATAAAGGGCATTAATTGATTTAATAATTAATCAAATTGAATTTGAAAGAGAAGGACAAGTAAAAATCCTTAGAGGTGAAGCTGAAATAGCAGAAACTTTCAACAAATATTTTGAATCCAGCTTAGAAGAAATTGTTAAATCAATTAAGATTACTACTTCATGGAAAGGTGTAAGATTGATGTTATAATTTAGACAAAACGACAACAAACTTTTAATTTCTAGGAGTTATCTGGAAAATGGGAGTTCTTCTTCGTTTTCCATATTTTTGAAGAGTGCTAAGATATTATTTACCAATTATCAAGTGAAAGGAAGCTCACATTTTCAAACGTATCTTGACAGTGATTGACGTTTGAAGAACTTGAAGATTGTAACTAACGGAACATATCTATATGTGTAGATATTGCACAAAAAAGTAAAATTTCGTATCGCGCTGCTGACTAGGTAAACTGTGGTTCTGACCGAATCTGACAGCGACAGCAGTATACCCTGTCAAGTATGATAATGAATGGAGTTCTATAAAAGATAAAGATCTATTGGTGTTGGTGAAAGAAAAATATCAAAAAATATGTCGGGATTTGATGATAATCCATTTGGAGAACCTACAATCGACAACCCTTTTGCTGTAAGTATTTTCATGAAGTTATCTAGATATTAATGAAAGACCAATATATTACTATCAGCAAACTGCCTATTGTAACATGAGGTTTTGTTCGACAAAAGTTATTTGGTTATTATTTTATTTCGTAGGATCCATCCGTTCAGCAAGTTGCTAGGAATACCAATGCACAACTCCGAGTTGATGATTATAATCCCTTTGATAACCAGACACAGAACCAAAAACCAGTAAGTGAAATATTCATATTTGATCAGCTTGAAATCTGAAATTAGTCATACCATGCTAGGAACATCAAAGTTCACTAGAAATTCTATTGCAAACTTTAGAAACAACAAATTGTAAGCTGTTTTTTTTATATAGTTACAATAATATCAGCTANTACAACCCATAAATCAACAACATTGGAGAGTTTATTTTTGTCAGATAATGACACCAATAAGAGCGAAAAGAAAAATCCAAAGTATATAATAACCTATTTGTCGAAGTCGATGTATGTTATTGATGATACACTGATTGACACAATCAAAATCATGTATGGGATAACTCACCACTTCTAGCTTGTCACCCAATTCTTTTGATTCTATAAGAACAAAGTTTTGAATAGCTTCATTATATGAGAACAAATTTTTAAAAAGCAGGAATGCCAGGATAGAGACTCCTGGCAATCTCTGCTGACTGGGTAGCACTTGTCTCTGATGAGTTTGCAACGAGATTTGCAAAATTCGTGTGGTGGAAGGGAGAGGAAGAAACGAAAGAGAAATATTGCATCCCTCAACAAAAATCAGTTTTTAATAACAATTTTTTCCTATCATTACCAAAATAAAAGCAGCGATGGAAACATAGCCTGCGAATGTAACTCAAGGATTCTAGGAATGTTTTGAAGAAGTGAACTTCTCAAAAGTTGGTTCTTGCTGCTGAGAAAAATTCTTCTGAGTTGAATGGCAAGAGAAAATTCTCTGTCACAGAAATGAAACTATTCTCCTTGTATCTATATTTAACCGGTGGGAGTTTATTACATGAAACTTTGTAAGAGAATTTTAAACCTCATTACCATCTCTCTCTACAGTGAGATAACATCTCCAAAGTAAATTTGACTTTATAGAAGAGAAAATGAGGTTTACTCAACTGAAAAGCTTCCTAATTAGTCGAAACTATCCTCTTGAAATGTGGGTAGGCGAAGACAGCACAGCAGTAACTGGTAAGTCATTTTTATACAATAAACTCTGAAGTAATTGTTATCCACATGACAATGAATATCAGGATAATGCATTGAAGATCGTGTGATGTGAATAATTGCAATATATTGAAACTATTTGTGGCAAGCTGTCCAGAACGAAATTCCAATAGATGACTGTCTGAAGACCCGAAACCACAAACAGTTTTAAAAGATGACCGCGAAAGCCAAAATGTCACCATTCCAATATACCTATTGAAAGTTATTTTCCCACATAACCACAAGCCATTTCCTATTAATGCTAACTTGTTTAGTGAAACGCACATCGAGTGACAGTGTTTTTGTTCCGGTTTGGGAAAAGTGTTTTCAATGATTATTTTATATCAGAGATTTCAATTATACTTATCAATCCAATATATTTTATGCAGAATTCAGTACAATAATCGATCCAATACCATCACTGGTTTCACTCTTCCATTAGCCTATAGAAGTGGGTTACCTATAACCGATGCATTCTTGGCAGGTGCTCAAAAGATTGCAGATATATTTGAGAACAATAATGAAAGTAGTTACTCTTGTGTGATTAAGGCTCAACATAACAGAAAATATCACTTCTGAACATTTTTCATAATTCCTTAAGAGTCTTAAGGAGTGAGCGCGTCATACTGAAATCTAATTTATTTTAAAGAATTTTGAGAAATCTGAATTATATATTCAGTCTGCTGTCACCAATTATTGGTCACTTGATAATTTCTACATACATATGAAAAAATTCCAAATCAAAGGTACAACCCATAAATCAACAACATTGGAGAGTTTATTTTTGTCAGATAATGACACCAATAAGAGCGAAAAGAAAAATCCAAAGTATATAATAACCTATTTGTCGAAGTCGATGTATGTTATTGATGATACACTGATTGACACAATCAAAATCATGTATGGGATAACTCACCACTTCTAGCTTGTCACCCAATTCTTTTGATTCTATAAGAACAAAGTTTTGAATAGCTTCATTATATGAGAACAAATTTTTAAAAAGCAGGAATGCCAGGATAGAGACTCCTGGCAATCTCTGCTGACTGGGTAGCACTTGTCTCTGATGAGTTTGCAACGAGATTTGCAAAATTCGTGTGGTGGAAGGGAGAGGAAGAAACGAAAGAGAAATATTGCATCCCTCAACAAAAATCAGTTTTTAATAACAATTTTTTCCTATCATTACCAAAATAAAAGCAGCGATGGAAACATAGCCTGCGAATGTAACTCAAGGATTCTAGGAATGTTTTGAAGAAGTGAACTTCTCAAAAGTTGGTTCTTGCTGCTGAGAAAAATTCTTCTGAGTTGAATGGCAAGAGAAAATTCTCTGTCACAGAAATGAAACTATTCTCCTTGTATCTATATTTAACCGGTGGGAGTTTATTACATGAAACTTTGTAAGAGAATTT